AAAAAAAAAAAAAAAAAAAAAAAAAAAATATATATATATATATATATATATATATATATATATAACGAAGTCAGCAATTATCTCAGCAGAGAAAATATATGGATATGCTTCCTTGACATAGATTGAATGCAAAAAATATCACTTTTGTCAAGACTTTTTATCTGATTGGTCAAGTGTCTCAGGCAGGTATTTTCATGTATTTAGACGAGTCCATGTAACTTGGCCTATTGTGTGCATATCATCATTCACCTGGTTTCAGTTTTTCACGTTGTAACATTCTAAAACGACATGCAGATGTGTAGATTTGACAGAAAAGCTAGATTGCTCATTGGCTATAGCATTACTTGGATATTTCCCTCATTTTAGCAATAATACGAGCTTTCACTGTGAGAACAGAGGCTGCCGGATGATGTTTCTTCACCCATAATGCTTTTGTGACAACCCATATCTTGTACTCGAACATTTTTCATCTCGACTATGGTAAATTTGCCATCTATGCAGTTCTTTTTAACTCGCAGAAAATCCTAAGCACCTACCCAATAACTCACTAGTCAAAACTAGCAAGCTTAGAATAAGTATGCCTAAGTCTTAAAAAATGTTAAAGTACTCGAGAGTAATTTTTAAGCTTAGCCTAATATGTCTAAGCTTAAAGTTTACATTTATTAAGTTATTCGCTAACCAAAAAAAAAAATTAAAAATTAAAAATTAAAAGTAACTTTTAGTTCAAGACTTCTTCAATAATAAGTGTTTACTTCTCAAAATTACTTCTACATTTTCTTGAGCTTAGTCAAGTATGCTCTAATAGCAGAACCATAAGCGGAAAGAGGCTAAAATATTTCTATTTACTTGTAATTGAAAATAAGAGTACAACGGCAGAGAGGACAAAGCAAGACGAAGATTATTTGCTCAAACTATGAAATTGATTCATTTAGGCTCTTTGCTCTATGAATGTCTGAATAGTATTTCCTTTCTATATAATTATCTCAAGTTTTAGTGTAGCTTTCTATGTTGGATAAATGCACTGTCAAGAATGACTGATTGGAGACTGAAAACTTTTATATACACTACGACGTCAACTATAAGATAGATGTTGAGAAGGAATAGATATATGTGCATTGTTTAACATTTAATTGTGCAGCAGTGAATCCATTTTTGCTTTCTTTCTTATTTTATTTAATTTCTATAAAATTGAGAGTTTTTCCATTTTACACGAGTAGAAAATTCGACAGTCACGTGCTTTTATCTCTGTTATTTTATCTAGATTTGTTGTTTATTTTCTTGCAAGGATGCATTTTATCGGTGGATCATACTTGCAGATTTCTGTATTTTCCATCTAGGTCAAGGATAGATTCATTGTTAGTGTCAACGTCATCTTAAAGTTTAAGTTGTTAGAGGGAGGACTTCTTATTTATTTAAATATTATCTTCAATGATTAGCTTGCAATTGATCTGGCAGGCTTTTTCGATATGTAGAATTGTGTTTCTCAAACCACACTTTCATAAGTGGAAATGCGTTTCCTCCCTCTTGTATCCCTATGGACAGTTGGCAGTTTGGCATTGGCTTACAAATGGTCACACGAGTTGTGCTTTCTCTTGGCTATTATGGATCGTTGATATAATCCAATGACTGAGATTTAGTCTTCAATAATTAATCCCTTTTTGAGGGTTGGGAAAAGATGCAGCCGGTCACTCTCTCTATTGAAGAAAATTTTTTCTCTAGTTTTTTCTCTCGCCTCTGCTTCTTTTCTTTTTAGATCTGAAGAACTTTGATGATCTTTGTAATAATTTTGTACTTATTTGATGATGGAAGAATATTGGTACAGTGTTTTAGGCCTTATGTGTGGCTAGAAAACTTGTATTGAGTTCTTGGCAAGGTTTTGTCTAGTCTTGTGGGTTAGGATTCGAGTTATTGAGAGATCCTTGTGGATAGATGACCATATAATGGGTCTGATTTGGTTTTCTCAAATGGTTGTACACTCTCTTGAAGGTTTTTTGTTAGTGACGGGCTTATCTCTGAGCCCCCCAGATTAGGCCATGTTTGGTTGAACTGGGTGAACAATCATTGTGTTCGATTTCTGTTCTTATTTTATTTTTACTATTTTTATGATTGCTTGTGGGTTTTGGGTTGATAATCCTAACACGATAGAGTG